GGAATTTCTGATATGATTCAAATTTCTAGGGTGCTCGACGAGGTTATGATTTCATTAGTGACGTCTTTTGGTTTTACTGCGTGCGTTTTCGAGGGGAGCTTCTTGGCGGCGCTTATTGCTGATGGGAGTTTTTGAGATGCAATTGATGGCTCCCCTGGTATTGGTTCCGGGGTCCTACCTGCTCGACTATTCTTAGTCCGAGGGCAGGGAAGGGAATTTTAAGCTGTTGCTGCACGCGCTACCGAGTTCTCGCGTGGTTCTTTGCGTTTCTGGAAGGAGCGGGGATTGAAGGCTAATTGATTGGAGGTATGGAAGGGAAGGTACGCGGCGGGATCAGGCTTGAAAGGACATTGGCGGTTTGTCACTGTGGAATGCCATGAATCGCAATGAAGGGCTCGGGTGGGGCTTATCGTTTAGTGTGGATCTGTGAGCTCTGACTGAGTGAACTGTCCACTGGGCATTAGGGCAATTGACCATTGGCCGGCGGTGTCATAGCAGAAGCAGAATTAGAGTCCTTGAAACCTCGGATGTGCCTGCGCAAATACTATATTAGCCGCCGGGCCTGCCTTGGGGCGTGAACGCGTGAATCGCCATCAAGTACATGCTTTGTATGACAGAAACGGGATAATTGGGTTTATTTAAGGCGAGAAGGCTTGCTTGTTGGTTACGAGCTCCACAGTTTCGAGATACGATCCCCTGATATGACGTTTTATTTGTGGGAACCAATGTGTTGCCTTTGTTTTCCGGTGATGCTCCACTGTGTTTGAGCGCTCGAACGATAAGTTTTTATCGCATCTTACATCTTTTTACTTTGAGCCGTATTGTCAGCAAGTCCGGGTTTGAAGCTCGTGTGGATACGCAAGTTGTGAGGTTTGGAAAGGGATGAAGTGGACGTCATAGGTTACGCGTGTGTGAGGGAGTGTCTTCGCACAAACATTGAGCAATCGCTCTCCTCTACGCGGATCGAAAAAAAAAAGGTTGGGCGCTTGGCGGCTTCGCCTTCTCCCAAGCACCCTAATAGTGGAAATTGCACATTTGCTTAATTCAGATACCCACACCACAGATTCTGAAATGTCTGTAGCAGCGACACGCCCACTTGGGCATCCGTACTTGCGATGATGTGAATAAAACCTCTTAGCTGGATGTGTAAGTGAGACGACAGAATCATGATGGCTCCTACGTCCTAACTTGGTATATTGACGCACCATTGAGGCTGATGTTCCCATCCTTCCGAGCGCGGTAATTTGACCAAGTCGTAGGGAAGCAGTAGGATGACCTTGACTTTGTTGAGACTGAGATTCCAACCGTAGTCATCCGACCGACTTGGTGTCGCACAGAAAGAATTAGCAATATAGCGGCCGCTGCTTCCTCATGGCTGAAGTCTCCTGTTAGTGGTATTTGGACTGGGTCAAGGGGTAGGTACATATGCCCCAACTTGTTCGAGGATTCGGAACGCGCTGTGAAAGTCTTCGAGACGTTACTGGATGGGTATAGAACCCAGGGGCGAGATTGTCCTGGATGAAGCGGTCAATGCTGATAGCTTTATAGCTGTGCTGACGGCGGTAGGTGTAGCAATATTACATTCAACAGATGGTAGCTGCTGCTGCGCTGACATAGTAGTTCAAAGTATAAAGCTTTGATGTGAATTTTCAAGCGCACGGACCAAGTGCAAAGTAAAGGAAGCTGCGCTAATCGAAATTGGTCTGATTTGAATAGTCAAATTCACCTACGTTGTAATATACTAATCTCCAGCTAACATCGAGAAGATTACAGACCACCCTTCATATCCCTCGAATTAAGCCTCACCATCGTGTATTCAAGACCAAGTTCCGCAAAAGTGTTCAAGAGCTCGGGAGCATCGTCGTCGTACCCATTCAAGAAATTCTATAGAATCTACCGCCATATTCTTCGCCCAGATAGATGTTTAACAGAGCGCAGTTATCCCACTAAAAGGGCCAGAAGTCGTCCAAGATGCCCGCCTTGACGTAATGGTCGTAGAATTGCTTGAGGCATAAAAAGGCTCATTTGACGCGAAGCCCTACAGAAAAAGAACGTAGCCACCCTGTCTACTCTTGTTATTTAATCACCCTTGTGCGGGCGCCTTCTTGGCTTTAGCTTTCGCCGACTACTTAGAAGCAGTGTGCCTTTGTACTATAGTTACGCGGCGCGGCGAGAGTCTTTCTGGATAAATGCGAGGTCTTAGAAACTTTAAAAAAGAAAGTGACCTTCATTGATTCTCGACTCAGTTTGACGCACACCAACTCTTAAAAATTGGAAACCAATGAGTTGGTCTGGGTTCGAACGCGGGACTTTGGGCGCCAAGAGATTGTTCGGCAGACTCCGATAGGGACCAATTTTCAAGTTTGTTGTCCTCGTTCATCGCTCATAGCAGCGATTCAATACAAACTCCATTCAAAATGTCGCAACAACGCATGGCGCTATGGGCAGCTGAAGCTGATATAGATGAAGACGTCGACCTCTCGCTGGCGATTGGAAACAACTACGGAAACGATCATTATGAAGACGGTACGGTGCACTTAATTGGATCCAGGTTGACTGGTATTGAGGTCGATTTCTAGCCCCAATTCAGCCTCAAATCGACGGATCGACGCTCATTGCCATGCAGCAACATATGGCCCAACAAGCGGCATTTGGACAGATCCCCGATGTGGTTAAAGGAGTGAGTTATCGCTCGATGATTGAAGAGCCACCGTTCTGAAGAAGCATTCCAGTTCATTGTGCATTTCCACCAAGCGGTCAAGGACAACAATTTGGCAGAAATTATGGTCGCGTACGAGAGCGGTTGGAACAAATACACCGAGAAGTTTTACTCCAAGACCGAATGGCCAGAGGCAGAGGTCATTGCTCCCCTTGTGAAAGATGGTGCGTGATTTTCACGGTCTGATATAGCGAAACGAAGGCTAATCGAGGTCTAGATCCTATCTTTTTGATTCTCTACCGAGAACTGTACTACCGACACGTCTACTCGAGGCTTCAACCCAACATCGATGACCGATTCCACTCGTACGAGAACAGCTGCGAACTGTTCAACTATCTTCTCAGTCAGTTGACAGAAATTGGACTGGGTTTTGTTATCTAACCCTCCTCGGCAGACTCTGATGGACCTGTCCCCCTCGAACTCCCTGAACAATGGCTTTGGGATATCATCGACGAATTCATCTATCAGTATCAAGTCTTCTGCACGTGGAGATCGAAGACTAAGGCGAAAACCGACGACGAGCTTGCGATGTTGGCGGAGTCCGGTCCTGTGCGTAAATCCTCGAATTTCTCTGAAGCGTTTCTGATAACTCTTCCAGGTCTGGAGTTCGTATAGTGTGCTGAACGTTTTGTACTCCTTGATGCAAAAGTCCAGGATCAACGAATACATTGGTGCTCAACGTGAAGGCAAATCGGTTGAGGAAATCAAGTAAGCATCAACATTAGTCCCTCCTCGCCTCTTTATCAATATTTTACTAGCGAAATCGTCGGCGAATACGGACAAAAACCCCTATATAGAATGCTCGGTTACTTCAGCATCATCGGTTTGCTCCGAGTCCACGTCCTTTTGGGCGATTTCACCCTTGCGCTCAAGGTTTTGGACAACATCGAGCTTAACCAAAAGGTACGTTGCTCTTTTTCTCCAGAGAAATAGGCCTTAACTATATTGCCTAGTCACCGTTCACCCGGGTCACCGCTTGCCATGTCGCAACCTACTACTATGTCGGTTTCTGCTATATCATGCTCCGAAGATATCCAGACGCCATCCGCACCTTTGTCACAATCCTCAATTTCATCATGCGCATGAAGCAGTATCACACTCGCAGCTACCAGTATGACCAGGTAATAACATTTACTCTGCACTCTGTGTATCAGTGCAATTCGTTTACGACTCCGTGTAGATTAACAAGACCGCCGACCGCATGTATGCTCTCTTCACCGTTTGCCACGCCCTCGCTCCTAGCAGGTTGGATGACAACATCGCCAACATTGCCAAGGAGCGATTCGCAGAGCCCTACGCGAAGATGTCGCGCGGAGGGTAAGTTGACTCGCATATACACTTTTCGCTATCGCTAATTGCCACCCTCGCCCCATAGACAAGACGCACTCGCAGCATTCGAAGAACTCTTCCTATACGCCTGTCCCAAGTTCATCATCGCCAACTCCCCGCCGTACGAGGACCCAGTGGCTATCCAGGCACTTGTCTCACCCTCGCCCGGCGACTCGCAGCCGGACCTAACTGCCCCCACCCAACTGGACGCGACCCACCGCCACCTGAGCCTCTTCCTCGCTGACGTCGCGGCCCAGACGCCCGTCCCTACCCTCCGCAGCTTCCTCAAGCTCTACACCAGCCTTGGTGCCAAGAAGCTCGCCAATTTCTTGGACGAGGACGAGGAGGAGATGGTGCAAGAGATGATGGTTGTCAAACAGGCAAGCAGGAGCATTAGCCGCTTACCTGGAACTGAGGGAACTGGTCTGTTGCAAGGACAGACTATTACAACAAGTGATCTGAACTTCGTTATTGATGAGGTTCGTTGAGTTTTGTTTTTGCTGCCGTTTTCATCCTTGGAATGAGCTGACTTTTTTTAACAGAACATGGTGCATATCACTGAATCGACTGTTGGACGACGATATGCTGGCTGGTTCATTAAAAACACTGAGAGGACGCAAAAGATCCTTGATGACCTCAAGAACAGCCCGCTTCCCGCCCCAAGAGCCAACCAATCCGCCTCCGCTCCTGAGCAACAGCAAAAACAGGCCAAACCGACTGGACAAAAGGTCGCTTGGGGAGGAGTGAAGACTTCTGCGTAATTAAAGTGATCTGACTGTGTACTACTTCTGTCTAGTCTTCGACATCTATTTTCTCTTTCTCTTTTGTGCCATTTGAGACGATGAAGAAATGTCACGAGAGGAATCCCAGATTATTCCATGAATGACAATATGACATTGACTCCTTGCTGGATAAAAAGCAGAACCTACAAAAAGAGAGAAACGAATTTCGTTGCATTAAGAGGGAATCGAACCCCCGGCGGGTCGAGTTTTCACTCGGATGGCAACGACCCAGGTTACCACTACCCCATTAATGCTTATGACAGGAAGCCTGGCTGTGTTATTCTGTACACCCAGGCCCGTCATTCCTCGCACTTGAAATTAAGCCGCCTCTTTTACATCAAAGACGCAAGTTATGTTCACTGATAATCCGCAAGTATAATTATTTCGCACAGTCTCCCCTTAAAAATCAGAATAAATACAGGTACAAGTTTTGGTAATGTGCTGAATATTGGTAAATGAGGATGAAATCTATGCGCCGCCTCGAAGAGCGAGAATCTTGGCGACTGCTTGCTCGGCGGTGGCCATGATGGTACCTTGAGGGTTGCCCATGGGCATTGAGGGGATCTAGATAAACAGGTCAGCATGCTGCTATCCAATTTTGAATTCTGGCTTGGGATGACATACAATTGAGGCCTACATAAACAGTGTATTAGCATTCCAAGTTGTTCAGAAAGTGAGAGTGAGAGGAAACGTACATCGACGACAAATAGGTTGTCCGTGTGGAGAACCTTGGTGTTTGCATCGACAACGCTGCCGATCGTGTTGGAGCCAACCCAATGATTGGAGTTGAGCCAACCGGTTGGGTAGTCATCAACTGAAGGCGAAAATTTAGATTAAATGAATGTCCCGTCAAAGTTATTAGGTTGTTATGCACCGTATTTCTCGATCGTTGTAGTGTTATCCGGGGTGATGAGAGTCAATCCTGGGACTAGAAACAAGAGAATGTGTTAATGAAGGGAATGTTCGAATCGGGTGACATTTACCATGCTTCACAGCGTTGACAATCTCGTGAATTCCTTTCAGTAGGACCTCCTTGTCAACGGGGTCGGTGAACCACGGGTTCTTGAGGGCGCGGGCAGTGAGAGCGGCATCAATACCAATGCGGCCACGAGATGTGACACCAGTGGACCTGTTGAGAACCAAATTTGAGCAATGTGCGAGTATAATCGCTGGGTGTTACTAACAGATAGGTGGTGATAGTAAAGATGTTGCTAGAGTTGTAAGGGAAATCCGTGGTGATAGATGCAGCACCCGGTCTTGCGGTACCTTGGAGCTGGATACCGAATGATTATCAGTCGCCGTCGATTGCAAAAAGTGCAAGGGTATTCAACTCACCCAGCGAGTTTTTTTGTCGCTGCCGTGGAGTGCACGCCAGAAGTTGATCCTATGTTTTGGGTAAGGTTATGAGTCGTGTGACAGAGAATGTGTTATTCTTACCTGGGCGAAGAATGGGAGAATACTCCGGATTGATCCTTGATGTACTGAGCAGCATCGCCCGTCCTGGGTCTCGTCCAGACGTTGCTCCAGTTCTCGTAGGCGTCAATGTCGGGGTGGGTGAAGACCAGCTATAGAGTGAGACAATCATCAATGCAGCACTTTCTTAATCCCAGTCCAAAAGACGTACGTTGATCGAAGGATTGTCAGACACATTCTCTCCGACGGGTAGGTTGATCCATTGGTCTTCGGAAGGGAGATTGGGGCCAGCGGTACGATCATTTTTGACGATATTGATCATATCAGATGGCCCTATTCCACTCTTGAAAAGAAGTCTGGCTGAACCGAATGAACCAGCCGACAAGATAACTCGCCCTTTCTCCGTCAAGGGGACGAATCCATTGGGGCCAACGTAAGGGTTGTCGGTTTGAACACCGAGGATCTTTGAGCCATCGCGAACGATGTGCTGCACGGTGGTGCGATCGAAATAAGCCAAGTTCTTCCTTGCAACCGCGGATTTCCAGTAGGTTGCAACTGCTCCGGCGCGCTTACCGTCGATGAACTAGTTGCATCAAGTGAATACAGAGGCTCAGGGATACGAACGATAGGATAGCTCACGTTGTAAGCACTGTATCCGTAGACATGGTCCTTAGAGTTGGCGTTATTGTTGATGTTAATTGGGTGGTATCCTTGTGGTTTCAGCAGCTTCTCCACCACATCGTAGGTCTCAGTCAAGTAGCGCTTTCCGTCACTAGAAGGACGATCGGTACTGGGGAGCTTTCGTTTCATCTTGTTGGTGTATTGCGCATGGTTTGCCCAGGACCTAGGCCAGCCATAGTTGGGAGAGAAGTCGATGTCTGGAGGATACCAGTATAGTCTAATTCGCCGTCAGTGCGGTTTATGGGCGGATGAGGGTTGGACGGCTTACCCTCCGTTGATAGCAGTGCCTCCGCCAAGTAAGCATCCGGCGAAAACGTTGACGTCTACGACTTTCTCAGAAAACGCTCAGACACTTGAAGCGGAAACTCACCCTTGCACCACCAGTATGGGTCAGAGTCTTGGAACATGGTCTCGAAAAGTCCAGGAACGTCGAACTTGGTCAGCTGTTTTGGAGGCTTGAGAAACTAAGGTGTGCTAGGTTTAAGGGTTGGCTCACGTTGGTTCCCTTCAGCCACTCGGGCTGATTAGTTCCACCAGTAAAGCCGAGACTGGGGCCACCACGTTCAATCAACAAAACTTTCTTGCCAGCTTCTGAGAGACGGTCGGCAGTTACGAGGCCACCTGGGCCAGCTCCGATTACAATATAGTCGTACGGAGTTGGCTAAAAGGAACGTTATTGGATTCCAGAGAAACTTCACGAGAGCAGATAGCAAACTAACCGCAACCGTGGGAACTGGGATGGCCGTAGAGGTTGGGGTAGGACCGGTAGTGGGTGTTGGGCCGGGACCACCTCCAGTACCGCCAGAAGCCCAATGAGAATACGTCTCGGCATCTACGTGAGCAATGCTCCAGTCCTGGCCGTAAAACCCGACTGTAACATGTCAATCTTTCCTGTTTAGGGTTGTGGGACAGATATCTTACAGTCTGAGTGTTGACTGAATGAAGAGTTGGGATCTGAGGGATCCGCTACGGGGGAAGTGTGGATGGCCCAAGCAGATGCACCAACCGAATCGATTGGAAGTTCTCGTGGGCCGTTCTCGGTTTCCCAACCTAAGATAACATGAGACACTTTTCGAAAGAAATCGTGGAGGACATACTTGTGCAGTGTTGACAGCGGTACACGAGTTTCCAATGTGTGGAATTCACCTTAGATGATGGGAGAACGGTGAGAATTGGGCCCTGGAAAGGTCTGAATCATGGGTTAGTAGCGCTTCAACGCGTGAAAGTTGGATATATCATACTCGGGAAGAACGTATCGCCTGTGAAGGAGCAAAGTGAGCTTGAGGTCTGCGTAGTCAGAGATAGGAGAAGGTAACTCACGTTGCGAGTCGAATGGAACCGACAACTTTGTCGCCGTTTGGCCAGGCGACAATGAGGACATTATTGACCATTCCACCTCCTGGCGAGGCACCCACCCATGCGTTCTCAATGGGTGCAACGATTTCACCAATAAATTCATCGGATGGCGGGTCCAGAGGAGGGAGGATGTAGCCGTACGTCACTCCGTGCACAGGATCAGTGATACCGCTGAATGTGATGCCATTGTCGGGGTCGACGTAGAGTTCGCTTTGCGCGAGGGCTGCAAGGGAAAACGATAGGCTTAAACAAAATATGCGAGTCAGGGCCCGTGAGGACGTACCAAGTCCAATGAGGAGGAAACTCGAAAACAGTCGTCCCAGCATCGCGTCTCAAGCAGGAACGAGGAAATTGGGATGTGAGAGAAAGATTCCTAACTTTTCTCTCTACATATATGCGGATCTCGTGAGTTTTACGAGCGAGAAAGCTCCGGGTACGCGCAAGGCATATTCGATTTCCCCTTCCAGTTCAAGGTGGATGTCATGAGTTGGTGGGGTCGGTCGCGAGAAGTTGTGAGCACGGTTGAATCGTTGCATTGCACGGTTGCTACTCGGTGGCTTATGACCAATACATTTTACGATTCCGAATGGAGTCGGAGAAATCCAGAAGCAGCTTGGGTTGGCGGTCTTCTCGCCCAAGAGTTGCAGGCATTTTGCTGGATGGTGGGGGCTGAAGTTAGTGGCTAGCTGAAGAACTTACGACATCAGCTGCAATGTGGGGTTGTTGAAATGGGCCCGAAGAAGGTCCGGCGAGTTTCTCCGTGTTGGGGTTGAAGATTTCGAAGATGGCAACTTGAGAACTGCGAAAACCGTCCAGTACTTGAGTGTTTAGGGAAAAATATGCTGGACGGCTTCTTTATGCTGATTGACCCTTCCCGCAAAGGAATCTGGGGTAACAGAACGTCAGCCGAACTAAACCTGGGGAAATAAGCTCAACCAGCATAAAGCGTGTAAGGGAGAAAGTGGTGAGAATTGGTGCATCTGCACGGATTTTGTGTGTGTCCTGCTTTCCAAATCCTGTGTGTTTTGATCCAAGCATGCCGAAGAGGCTTTAAAAGGTACATATTAGGTAGCTAACAGTGATGAGAAATGCTGATCCACTCACTGGCACGGATAAATGTCTGCTAAACATATTGCATCCTTGCTAGGGCAACCTTGTAGTCCTCACTGAATGCAACCAATGAGTCTCGGGAAAGATGTCATCCTAACTTTGAACCATGTGGTCATGGGATGGGCGCTTCGTGAAGCGAGGAGAACAGCTGAGAACGGCTCACGCGAAGCCATTACTCCGAGTCTAAGCCATGCACATTGGATACGAGAGGCGGAGCGATGCGAGAATCGTGGAATGCAGGGCCATTGGCACGAAGGACGAGCATGGATCATTTGGTCGTCTGAAGCGATTTTGTGCCTTGGAATGATAAAGGGGAAGATAATCGGTGTACGGTAACAGGAACTGGTAATGTTCCCGTCCAGGCGTTCGCACGTCCTTTGCCACTGGGGAAAGCCGATCTCGTATTCATGATCGCAATTCAGAGATGGTGGTGTTCAAGAAGCCTCGTAGCTGCGTATTCCATGTGACTCGTTTCCGCAGGGGTCATGGCCTGGTCAAGTGTGAGAGTCGGTCAGATTGACTGAAGGAACCTCAGATAGGAGATCTTGACATGGCCGCAGTCAGCATGTATAAAAGTACCTGTTCGGATCCCAATGATTCGACAGGGCTTCAGCAAGCTCCAGTTGCTTCAGTGTTGCGGTAGCTCGCGAGTAGAGTCATGTACACATCATATGGACCTCGCAAGGGTTAGATT